CTTTATGTGCTTTAACCTTATCATACCACAAATATGCATGCCAACCAAATACATTATTGAAACTTTCCAAATCCAAAACATCCGTGTTTTCAATAAGCATCCATTCTCTCAGCCAACAAAAAGCAGCTGATTCATAATAAAGTTTTAAGTCTGGCAGGGCAAATCCACCTCTTTCTTTAGCATCAGTTAATATCTTAAATTTTATGCGAGGCTTCTTGCCCTGCCAGACAAATCTGGAGATATCTCTCTGCCACTTCTTGAAACAGTCCATTTTGTCCAAAATTTGCAGTGTTTGGAACAAAAACAGCATTCTTGGCAATACATTCATTTTTATCACAGCAATTCGGCCTAACAACGATAACTTCAAATTTGACCATATTTCTAGATCTTTTTTCACTTCAGTCCAACATTTTTCATAATTATCCTTAAATAAATTCACATTCTTAGCAGTCATATTAACCCCTAAATATTTCACTTTCTTGACCAGTGTCAGTCCTGTCTCCTTCTGAAACTTCTCTCTCTCAATCTCTGTTAAATTCTTTTCTAACACCTTAGTTTTCATCTTATTCAACTTAAAACCTGCCACCTGGCCAAATTCTTGGATTAATTCTAATACTCTTTTAGTGCTAGATTCTGGCTCCTGTAAAGTCAATACTAAATCATCAGCAAATGCTTTCAATTTGTACTGTTTCGCTCCCACTTGTATACCTTTTACCAATTGGTCCCTTCTAATCATATTTAACAAAACCTCCAAGACCGATATAAAAAGCAGTGGAGAGATTGGGCAACCTTGTCGTGTTCCTTTCTCAATCTTAAAATCTTCCGTCACTACATTGTTCACAATTAATTTGGCCTTCTCTTCTGAATAAATTGCACTTATACCGTTTCCAAAACCTTGACCCACCCCCATCCCCAATAAATTCTTCTTCATAAAACTCCAAGAAATGTTGTCAAAAGCTTTCTCCGCATCCACAAATATCAAAACTGCTTTAGTATTAATCTTCACTTGTAATTTTTCTAAAATATTAATTATATTCCTCGTATTGTCAGATAAGTGTCTGCCCCGGAGAAAGACCGCTTGATCTTTATGAATTTCTTCCATTAACACCTTTTTTAATCTTTTAGCCAAAATATCTGCAAAAATTTTATAATCCACATTAAGCAATGATATGGGGCGGTAATTCTTAAGTTGTGTCTTTTCAGTCTCTGTTTTCGGTATAAGTGTGATGTAAGCTTCCTTCCACCACTCTGGTGCCCTTTTCCCTTCCAGTATCTCGTTACAGACTTCCTTTAAAGGTTGTATTACCCATTCTTTCAGAAATCTGTAATATCTTGAAGTCAGTCCATCCGGTCCTGGAGATTTACCTAATTGCATATTCTGAATGGCCCCTTCCACTTCCTGTTCCGTTATTTTGTAGTTCAACATTAATTTATTTTCTTGAGAAATTTTTTGTAGTCCATTCATTTTCAAAAATTTGTCAATGTCCATTTCTTTCTGCTTCTCCTGTGTATAAAGTTGTTTAAAATACCTCTGGAAGCACTTTCTAATTTCCACTGGATTCTGTATGTTCTTTCCTTCTACTTCCAAGTTCGTAATGGTATTAAGTTTTTGTCTTTTTTTCATTTGCCAAGCCAACAATTTACCGCACTTATTTGCCGATTCAAATGTCTTTTGTCTCATCTGTTTAATCTTCCATTCTATTTCCTGATTCATCATTTTCATGTATTGTACTTGATATAACTTTATCTCTTTCAAAATCTCCTGGGACTTTGGTTTCACCCTCAATTTCTTCTCCCCTTCCTTTTTCCCCCCCAAGATTTTGTCTTTTTTCTCATTTTGCATTCTCTTCTTAATTGCATTCTGTTGTATCAAAAATCCTCTCATGACCGCTTTACTTGCATCCCAGATTACTCTTTTTTTCCACAGCAGTGCTCATATTTATCTCAAAATAGTCTCTCAAAGTTTTTTGGGCCTTCTTAATAAATTCTTCATTCCGAAACCTCCCAATTCAGGGGTGATTTCTAATACTTGCTTGGTTATTTTACATATTTCTCGTATGGTTGTTGTCCAGAAAGTTTTATTTTGGGGCACTCAGATGGGCAGGAGAAGAAGGAGAAGAAGGAGAAGAAGAAGAAGAAGAAGAAGAAGAAGAAGAAGAAGAAGAATGGGGGCAGGGAAAATAGATGTATTTTACCACATTTCTCACATTTTACCAGCAGCAACAACAACAATTTATACCCCACTCATCTGGCTGGGTTTCCCCAGCCACTCTGGGCGGTTCACAACAGAATATTAAAAACATGATAAAACATCAAATATTAAAAACTTCAGATATCTTCTAGAAGTCAGATAGTTGACTTTTAGTTGATCCCCCTATCTTCTCACTGTTCTCAGAACAGTTTAACAATCAGCTCCTCTTCCCAGGGAGCTCTGAGAATTGTAGATATATGAAGAGTATAAGGTCTCCTAAAAACATGCAGCACTTTTTTTAAAAAAAACAAACTACAGTTCCCAAGACTGTACAATAGTGCTTAAATGTATGGTTCAATAATACCATTTTTTTATTGTTGGTACAGATAGGACCACTGTACCTGAAACTTTACCTTCCCTCATAAACTTCACACTAATCCCTATCATGACAGAACATCTTTCAGGTTTACTCACCTACAAAGGTTAGGAAAGTGGTTCTTTGAGGGATGGCCTTTCCTGTGGTTGTTTTCTGGTTTTGGAGTTTCTTCTTTTTACTCACCTCTTAAGGCACCCAGCAAAGAATCATGTTCAAACCAGCCACCAAAGGCTCAGGTTGCAGTTGTGATCTCGTTTACACCCGTCCACTTACTCAGATTGGCTTTTTTGAGTTTGGCTTTTGGACTGCCATAAATATTTTCCCGCCTTTTTATTTGCTTTAGGGGTTTTCTTTTGTGCCAGTGTGCCTCTTTATCATGGGTAGGCAAACTAAGGCCTGGGGGCTGGATCCGGCCCAATCACCCTCTAAATCCGGCCCATGGACGGTCCGGGAATCAGCGTGTTTTTACATGAGTAGAATGCGTCCTTTTATTTAAAATGCATCTCCGGCTTATTTGTGGGGCATAGGAATTCGTTCATTATTTTTTTCAAAATATAGTCCGGCCCCCCACAAGGTCTGAGGGACAGCGGACCGGCCCCCTGCTGAAAAAGTTTGCTGACCCCTGCTCTTTATCATACAGTGGTACCTCGGGTTAAGAACTTAATTCGTTCTGGAGGTCCATTCTTAACCTGAAACTGTTCTGGTTAGCTAATGGGGCCTCCCACTGCTGCCATGCCACCGCCGCCGCACGATTTCTGTTCTCATCCTGAAGCAAAGTTCTTAACCCAAAGTACTATTTCTGGGTTAGCGGAGTCTGTAACCTGAAGCATCTGTAACCCGAAGCATTTGTAACCCGAGGTACCACTGTATTTGCTGCTTTATTTCGTTCTTCACACCTTTGATGTTTTTTTATGAACATCAGTTAAGCTGCCATGAACACCACAGACATATATATATATCTGGTGGAAAGGTCACACACAACTTTGTACAAAAGAAAGTAAATAAATACCCTCATGGCACTCTTCCATCTCTGCATGATTCAAGGTTACTTCTTGAGTAATTTGTACCCAGGTGAGCTGTAGGAACAGGGCCGTCTTAAGCATATCCAGCGCCATGGTGCAAAGCTCCCTCCGGCGCTCCCCACCCCTGTTTCCCAGAGTTTTTTAGGGAGGACGGCACTGCCGGCGGGGCTGGAGGAGGCGGGCAGCGGCTGGAGGGCGGCTCCTCTGACGGGGAAGGGGCAGAGGCTGGACGCGGCGCCTCCCAGCTCAGCTGGCCCCTTCATGCCACAGTGGCCATGGCAGACGGAGGCTCCAGATGCAGCACTGCTTCGGCGTGGCGTGGCGGAGGCGGGCGAGGGTGGCGAGCTGATGCTGGGAGCCTCCGACTCTTCCCTAGCGCCCTTGCGCCCCGTGCCACTAGCCTCAATGGGTAAGACGCCCCTGTATACGAACAGGGGTGAGGTTGCTGCTGTAGAGGTTTAGTTGCCTCATGGATATGTACTTTTATTTTGCTCAACTGCACCATTTCAGATATTGGTCGTCCCCTGACGACAACCCTTTCCCGGAATCTGCAGCTCCCTCCCACGTGGCCTCTCCAGGCAGCAGCAGTGAATGGTCAGTGGCGGTTGGCAGCAAATGCAAGCCGCCCGCCACTTTGCTTCTCTAGTGCATTGAGAAAACAGGAGAAATGGGCAAGAGCATAGGCGGAATCAGGGCCGGGCCAGCTGTTAGGGAAGATGAGGCCACTGCCTCAGATGGCAGAAGCCTCTCAAGTAGCACATCCCTGGCTGCTCAGCCCCACCATCCACACCAATTTTGGCCCAGATCACCATCTGCACCGATGGCGATGGCGCTTCTCACAGCAGGGCATGTGGCAACGGCAGAGCAGGTGGTGGGCAGAAGGAGGTGGTAGGTAGTGGTGGGAGTGGTGGTAGTGGCAGGGCAAAGAGGCACTTCCCATTTGTTCTTAAGTGGCAAAAGAGGATTTGCCACCCCAAATACTCAGCAGGCCTCAGCAGGGTGACTGTCCTGAATGCAGACTTTAATTTAGGAAAAATATGGGAATTTGCCTTGAACCAAGTCAGATCGCTAGTCCATCTAGCTCAGTATGATCTCTTTCAGCTTCTGCCTTCTGGAGGAAGGTATAGGGTTATAAAGGCCAGGACTAGCTGCCTGAGAAACAGTTTCTACGCAAATGCAATTCTGGTTCTAAACACAGCATAAGGGGTCACTATAGTATAGTGTATTTTAAAATGGGGTTTCAGAGTTTTTCAGGGTTTTTGAATGTTTTATGTAGTTTTTATGTAGTTTTTCAATTTCATTGTTCTGCATGGGACAATGACAATAAAGATATCGTATATATCGTATTGCTGACACTGGCTGGCAGTGGCTCTCCACAGTTTCAGAGGCTACGGTGTTTGGCAGCCCTACCTGGAGATACCAGGGATTGATCCTGCGATCTTTTGCATGCAAAGCAGATGCTGAACCACTGAGCTATCGCTGTTCCCCTTCAATTTAGGAACTGCATGATTGAAATAATAATAATAATAATAATAATAATGGCAGCTGCCCCATATTTAAAGCAAAAAACATCATGTGCATACAGAACTAGGAAGATAGATCTAATGCTTAGCGGTAAGAATAGAATCCCCTTTTAACATTCTCCATGAAGGCCTGCTAAATCCTACTGAGCCTCCAGCTCTACTGAAGTCCTACATCAAGCCCTTGCTAAAGTCAACAAAGACTTGTTTGTTTCAGTTTTATTAGCTGCCTTTATTTCTGTGGTGTAACGTGATTAAAGAACATAAACTTTGTTGGAGGAGAGAAGAAAAATATGTTGGAAATATAGTGCAGTTTGAGGAAGAAGCAACATGCATAAACATGTTTTTAATCAGTTATGCAAATAAGTCCAGAGACGTTGCTAACCCTCAACAATGTTTGTGCAGTCATACCTCGAGTTGCAAACGTGATCCGTGCGGGAGGCATGTTCGCAACCCGCAGTGTTCACAACCCACAACGCCATGTCTGTGCACACGCATGACACGATTCGGCGCTTCTGTGCATGCGCCGAAACCCGGAAGGAACCCATTCCGGGTTTGGTGCGGTCCGTAACCCTAAAATGTGTAACCCGCAGCGTTCGCAACCCGAGGTATGACTGTATTTGTATTTTGCATCTTTTAGCCTTTTAAAAAAAAAATCCTGCCTGGTCGCCTACAGTAGTTCTTACTCGCCACAGGTGACCAAAGTGGGCATGCATAAACCTAGCTTTGAAGTCATAGAATTGTAGAGTTGGGACCCTGAGGGTCATCTAGTTCAACCCCGCGCAATGCAGAAATCTCAGCTAAAGCATCAATGACAGATAGTCATCCAACCTCTACTTAAAAACCTCCACTGAAGCCCACCACCTCCCGCGGGAGACCATTCCACTGTCAAACAGCACTTACTGTCAGAAAGTTCTTCCTGGTGTTTAGTTCTGCCCAGACACTGCGGTCCAGCACCGAGGGCCTTCTGGCAGTTCCCTCACTGCGAGAAGCCAAGTTACACCAGATGTCAAAGAGAACAACAACTACCAGACTTTTAGAAGACATCTGAAGGCAGCCCTGTTTAGGGAAGCTTTTAATGTTTGACGGACTACTGTATTTTCATATTTTGTTGGAAGCCGCCCAACAAACAGATAAATTATTATTGTTGTTGTTGTTGTTGTTGTTGTTGTTGTTGGAATCTCCTTTTTGGTAAGTTGAAGCCATCAGTTTGCATTGTTGGATAGAGCAAATTGCAGTTGGTCAACATAGTAGTAAAAGGATGGTATAGAAATATTGAAAATAACTAAACAAATATTTTGAATTCCTTCTTTATTCATGGCAGTGAATTCACCTTAGTCCCATCTGCCAATTTTTGGAAAGAAATGGTGGTGAATCTTCCCAGAGCTTGTGGTCATCATGATCCATGACGCAAAACACATCCATATATCATGCAGATATACACATAATCAAAGCGCATAGGATAACGATTCCTTAAGAACAGCCCTAAGCACCTCACTATGAAATGTAATTAGTCAAGTTACATATTTAATTCCTCTTATCCTCATTGCACGCCTTCCATTACCTTCTTCTTTGCATCTTACATTATTCTTTTGTTATTGTCATTGAAGTGTGCTGCTTGGTCATTTAAGGACTTAAAGTAGCCACCCCCACACTGCTGTCCTCCAGCTGTTTTGGACTGACGTCATAGGCCCAGGACTGGGAAGGTTGATTTAAACTTGTTGTTGTTGTTTAGTTGTTTAGTCGTGTCCGACTCTTTGTGACCCCATGAACTAGAGCACACCAGGCACTCCTGTCTTCCACTGCCTCCCACAGTTTGGTCAAACTCATGTTAGTAGCTTCGAGAACACTGTCCTACCATCTCGTCCTCTGTCATCGCCTTCTCGTTGTGCCCTCAGTGATTTAAACTAGCAACAGCAAAAATGCTCCTAAAGCACAAGGTACTGTTTTTTTAATTCACAGATTACCACTTTCACAATAGATTGCAAGCATGACCAACAGCATTCCTCAGGGTCGGCTCAAGACATTTTGGCACCTGAGGTGAACCACAAAATGGCTTCCACCACCACCAGGGAAGAAAGAATGAGTGAAGATCTACATCAGGAAAAAGGTGGGAATAAAGATCAACATTGGGAACAAGGAGGGAAGGAGGAATCAAATCATCATTACTTGATGACTGAAGGGGGACTTTGGTAATATGGTGCCCTAAGTGAGGATAAAATTTGGTGCCCCCTCCCCAATATTTCTTATTTTTCCACAGTCATTTCTTTTGGTTGTTTTTTAATGGATCTTCTCAGTAGGTACCATGATGACGATGGTGATGATGATGATGATGATGATTTTGCACCCTCCCAGCTCAGTGTCCTGTATCAGGGAACCACCTGCACCACCCTAAATCCGGCACTGGCATGAATCTGGCCTAGGTGAGGTACTCTTGCTTCCTGGCAGAGCACATCCTGAAGTTTCTACAGTCGTACCTTGGTTTTCGAACAGCTTAATCCTTGTACATTTTGGCTCCAGAACACCACAAACCTGGAAGTGAGTGTTCCGGTTTGTGAACTATTTTTGGAAGCTGAACGTCCGACAGGGCTTCCATGGCTTCCGATTGGCTGCCAGAGCTTCTTGCAGCCAATTAGAAGCCACGCGTTGGTTTCCAAATGTTTTGGAAGTTGAACAGACTTCTGGAACGGATTCCGTTTGACTTCCAAGGTACGACTGTATTTCAATTACTTACAATGAAATGGTATTATTAATAATACTTTTCATCACCATCATCCCAATGCCATGTCATTGTTCACTTTTCTTCATCGGTAACTGCTCTGGCCTTCAAAAAGGCTGCAATTTGACAGAATCGAATTCACAAAGAAAGTGCTGTGAGAAAAAACCCATCCAGAGCAAACCTACCATCAGTGCAGACCCTAAAACAGTCTGGTAACAAAAGCGGAATCCAACATGCAGGCCAAATTGATAGGCAGAAAACACTACCCAGACCTCTTAACCACAAGCTGCTGATACCAGACTTGATGCCTGGAGTTTACAACGGTCAAGGGAGCCATGTGTTGCGCACCGACACAGTTGCTGCTCTTAATTCTTCTGGCACACAGTCCCCAAAGGACACATATAGCCTGTAACCAAGAAAGTGTTTAGTGTCTAGTTAGGGCTGAAAACTGATAGGCACACACAACGTTGGGTGCCAGCCATTTGCTTCTTGGGAACGAAGGAATGATAAATTTGGGAACTACTAAGTGGAAGATATCTGCTACGGCTGTGTACACACCATACATTTAAAGCATACAGGCACCTTAAAGAATCCTGGGAACTATAGTTCACACCCCCACCCCCACAGAGCTGCATTTCCCAGCACCCTTAACAAACTACGGTTCACAGGATCCTTTGGGGAGGGGAGATGAGCTTTAGATTTTGGTGTGTATACAGCCTTCATGTCTCAAGTTTGTGCTGGTCGGAGGTATGAAAAGACAAGTCCTTGCTTCCAACTCATGGATAATATTTCCCTCATTGACAGGACCTGTCCGTACTGTCGGTCGGCATGAAGTAAAGAGGTGAAGCAGGCAGGCTTGTTATTTTCCATGACATGAAGGAACAGAAGGGAGACCAGGACTCTGCTGGGTAAGGGGAAACATGGTGGCATGAGAAGAAATGTACAACAAAGCATGTTTCCAAAAATGAACTTGATTCTGTAGGAGTTTTAAAATGCTTAGTTTAAAATGCCAGCCATTGAGATCTATTAGGTGGCTGGGCATGTGGGAAAGGGCCTCTTCAGCGGTGGCCCCTGTGCTTGTGGAATTCCCTCCCTGGGGTGGTCCATATGGCCACTACTCTACTGTGACATTCATTTTATCCTACAGCGGCTATGTTGTGGCTTATGGTTTTGATGTTTATTAACGGGGCTCAGTACAACAAGGTGACAGAAGCGTCTTGTTTAATCAAAATTTGGAGCTAAGCCCTTGTGCTTAGCTAGACTGGTGACTGGGAGAGGACGCCGAGACCATATAACACTAGTCCTGAAAGACCTACATTGGCTCCCAGTACATTTCCGAGCACAATTCAAGGTGTTGGTGCTGATCTTTAAAGCCCTAAATGGCCTCGGCCCAGTATACCTGAAGGAGCGTTTCCATCCCCATAGTTCAGCCTGGACACTGAGGTCCAGCGCTGAGGGCCTTCTGGCGGTTCCCTCACTGCAAGAAGTAAAGGTACAGGGAACCAGGCAGAGGGCCTTCTCTGTAGTGGAGCCCGCCCTGTGGAATGCCCTCCCATCAGATGTCAATGAAATAAACAACTATCTGACTTTTAGAAGACATCTGAAAACAGCCCTGTTCAGGGAAGTTTTTAATGTTTTATCATGTTTTTAATGTTCCGTTAGGGACTGATCAAGTCCCCGCTATGGGTCCCCTTGCTGATCGAATCCCCGCTATGGGGTGAGCTCCCGTTGCTCAGTCCCTGCTCCTGCCAACCTAGCAGTTCGAAAGCACATCAAAGTGCAAGTAGATAAATAGGCGGGAAGGTAAACGACATTTCCGTGCGCTGCTCTGGTTCGCCAGAAGCGGCTTAGTCATGCTAGCCACATGACCCGGAAGCTGTACGCCAGCTCCCTCAGCCAATAAAGCTAGATGAGCAACCCCAGAGTCGGTCACGACTGGACCTAATGGTCAGGGGTCCCTTTACCTTAATGTTCCGTTGGGAGCCGCCCAGAGTAGCTGGGCGGGGTATAAATGATAAATTATGGGTGAGGCATAAATGATAAATTAATATTATTATAAAATTATTGTTGTAATAATCTTCCTCTTGGAGTATTTCCAGGTGGCATTTTGTTGTGGAATTGGTGCTGATCCAGCCCAGAAGTTGTTTTGCAGTGTCCACACGATGTCATCATCATCCAAAGCTACCTTGCAGACTCCCACCCTAGTACAGACCAAGTTTATCGATCACAATAGTTTTCCTG